ATACCAAATACCAAAGAGTTATGTAAAATAGATTCAGGAAAAAAACTGAACTATTTTACTGATGCAATGGGAATTATTTAATTTTAATTTTATTTTTTATATATCCTGCCTTTATTATTTATATAAATAACTCAAGGTGGCTATACCTTCCTTCACCTCCTATTTTCCCCTCAACCAGGTATTCCTGTCAGGTACATTGGGCTGGGAGATCGTGACTGACTCAAAGTCACCCAACTGCTTTCATATCTAAGCCAGGACTAGAATTAACAATATAGTCCTCGCATTTTTACTGAGATTAAATTTAGCTACCACTGGTTTTAAATCACCCGGTCTCTAGTACTGAAGGTTAAATTCAAGAAAAATAATACTGCAAACTACAAATGAGTTTGAAAGGAAAAAAAAGAATGTACAATCTGTTAAATTTCAACAGCAGGGATTATTTTATGAAGGCTATGAATAGGACAAAAGGACAGACCATAGTGTTCCAAAAAATCCACTCCCCCATGACAACATACTAGGCACACATTTATCAGAGCAACCTCCGCTGTGGTTTTGACATGAAGAATAGAACATTTCAGGCCTTCCTGACCATACTAAGGAAGTTGTAAATATTACTTAAAGATAAAATTTAGAGAAAGAAGTACTTTAGTTTATGTATAAAATTAGAACCTACCATTTCCATAAGGGCTCAGAACAGTTACAGTTAATGAATAGTAGATAATTTATCACATGTTTATGAAATTACCTATGAAGTAGGTAATTGTGCTACATAATTATTTTAAAACAGAACATGTCAAAGTACAGTAACAAAACACAAAAAGAAAATAAAAAACCAACACAAAAGTACAATTGCAAATATGGAAATATAATAGTAAATCAAACATATCAGAGACATTGCAACCTAAAATGTAAAACACATTTTCAAGAATTACCAGTCAATGTCATTTGGCCAATAAGAGAGCACTGTTAAATTGACAGATGTATATGAAAAGACACACCTGGAGACACTGCCTATTTCTTTTGAATAAAGAACACTAAAGAAATTCAACATTTCAGCCCAGTCATGTTTTGTATATGGCAGTGCTTCCCAAACCTAAAAAATTGCCCCAAATTAGGTAAAAGTGTTATTTCCTTGGTTAACTGTACATTAATGCATTATCAAATCACAATCTAAATAAAGACTTTCTGAGAAGTGGTTTCGGGTAATGTAGGAAAGAGTTTGGAAGCACTGGCACATTGAATCAGCAGGAGCATTATTTTAAAGCAAGAAAATGAAAAGAAGCAATTTTATTTAGATACATAAATAATTAGCAGGAAATCTAGTAGCAAACAAAAAAGAGGATACTTTCACCATGAGGATTTTTTTGTTGATTGATTGGTTAGTGCAGTGGTGGCAAACCTATGGCACAGGTGCCAGAGGCAGCACTCAGAGCCTTCTCTGTGGGCATGTGCGCCGTCGCCCCAGTCCTAGGCCTTCAGCTAGGTTTTATAAAACCTTTTGCCGTGTGCAAAAAAAAAAGGTTCAATCAGTCAATTTCAACTTCTCGCGTGAAAAAAAAATCTTGCAAAGTTGGAACTGATTGATTGAACTTTTTAGTCCCAGTCTGCCGTTACCACGGCAGCCACACCCACCCAATGGGCCACGCCCACCCGGCACTCGATGATGCATAAGTGGGTTTTGGGTTGCAGTTTGGGCACTCAGTCTCTAAAAGGTTCGCCATCACGGGGTTAGTGGTTAGGGTTGGGGTTTTTTTTGCTTTTAAATTCCATTGCAGGATCATTCATTCACTCTTTCAGAGTAGCCACTAAAATATTCCCTCATAAAATAAACTTTAATCTACTACCAGCAGAAACACAACCTTGAAGCTAACAGTCCTATAGATCTCGAAAGTGCTTTATATGAATGATTTCCTTCTGATAACAGGTGCTGGTTATAAGTGTGAAGTAATTTAAATGTGGGCTAGCATGAAAAATTGAAGAAAATTCCCCATAAATAACAAAAGCTAACCATTTTACGGAGTTTCTATTTCAATAAGCTCTTTTTAAGAAAGCAGCAACTCCTACACGGCATTTCGTTTTGCTCTGTTTGTTAGCCATGTGCATATGACAGTAGATTTTGAAACGTGCATGCTGCTTGTTTTTCTGCAAGATCAGATCGCACTTTCCCACATCAGAGAAGCCAGTTCATCCACAGGGTAATGCCCAAAAGCTCTGCAGCAGCCTGAAGCAGACCACTTCCTCCTTCTTCATATTCCGGATGCCTTACAACCACTCGCATTTCCTTTGGGGCTAAGGCATGGCTAACATTTTGCCTCACCACAGAAGCCATGTATGGCCCTCCTCCCCTCCTTGGTGATTATATTACTTCTCAAACTATGAGGTAGCTGAACAAACTGTACTTTTAGAATAACCACTGATTAATAAGCAAATGAAGGCAGATTACAAACATATAATCTGCCACAGAAGATAGTTGGCCCCAAATATTTTAAAACCACAGTATCATACAGTGCTTTGGTGTAAATTCAGAGTTCAGAAATTGAGAAAATTTTACTATAAACTAGTAATTGGTTAATAATTTTTTAAAGATCTAAACAACATCTTAAGCATTCTATAAGAGTCCCTTTGAGGCGAGAGGGACAGAATCTAATAAATAACTATCAAATATTAAAGTTGTCCCTAAACAGACAGACATCTTATTTTTAATATTATAAAAGATATATCACAAGCAGGTGGATCAGAAATTGCTATCTTAGTATCAGAGTTAGATTGAATTCTCCACCTGTAGAATGGTATCTATCAAAGTCACAAAGGTTTTGCTTTTTTTTTTTTTTGAAATCATTTCACTTCTCATCCAAGCAGTTTGTTCAGTTCTCAGAATGATAAAAGAAACATTTTCAAAGGAAACACCAAGAAAATCCAGTTGCCTTTTGGAAAAAGAACCTTTGGGACAACCATGACCTGGATGTGAGAATCTCCACAGGGATCCATCAAAGAGCTACGCAATTAAATAATAAAATAGATAAAAAGGAAGCTGTAATCTAACTATCATCCTGAACAAACTGGATATCCATCTAAGGAAATGGTTCTTAGACTGTTTGAGACAATTAATGCTTTCCTGATATCAAACAATGTCATTACCTATACGAAAGAAACCCCTACCCCTATCATTGTTTTATAAAAGCATCTCAATAGCAGCAATTCCAAACTGGATACCCAACTCCCAAATGATCTAGATCTTTAAGCACCAAGAATTCTACATGGAAATTAACCCAATGTCAGTCTTCCTAATTATCTTATCAGCATTTAATCTATGCTTTATTAATATTCAAGGCTGCGATGAGAAGAATTTATTTGGTGTGGTCAATACTGGGAGCTCTTAAGGAGGGAACTGTAATCAAGATAGGGAACAACTTCTACCCTGGGGAGAAAGGATCAAACTAGGCTTTCAGTGCTTCAATATCTTATACTTCCTGGATAACAATAGTATAGTCGAAAGGAGTTCTATTTCAGTTGAAAGTGAAGGTTATGTTTGCTGCTTTTATGGCCCCTGAGGGAGGTAGAGAGGTGAGAGGATTGGTACTTATGGCTGAACAAATAGTTTTGACTGCCTGCCTGTTCTCACTGTCAGAACATTTTGAAAATAATACGTGTAGGGCCATAGGCCTCAAGGAAGAAAATGAGATAGAGATAAGTAATAAAAGAAATTTAGGTTACAAACAAGGATTCTTTTAGGGACAAAAGAAGGGAGGGAAGAGGAAGGGAAGCAAGAGCAACATAATTGCTCTCCTCTTCAAAATGGGGGGCCTAGGACATTTGGTAGATTACAGTGAAGCTATAGAACTTTCCAGAATATTATGCAGGTTAAATGTGTAACAAAAGAGACATCACATTGGGTTGATTCTTGTTGCTGGTGGGGGGAGGAGGGGTTAATTGGGTTTCGTATTAGGATTTTATTTCTGTAAGACACACGGAGTCACTGTCAGTGAGTCGGAGGCCAATACATTTTCTAAATAAATACTAAAGGGGAATGGTACAAAGCAAGGGTTTGTAATGGTGTTTTTCTGCTTTTACTACTTTTTGTAATAGGATTTTTGGTTGACTTTGGTGACAAAAAGTTTAGAGACAGTAAGGTAACACTGAAATAAATCAGTTCTTCTATCTAGTTATTGGAAGCAACCTCAAAAGGAATCAGAAAGACGGTCTCTCTCTCTGCTTTCTCTTTCTCTCTTTGAATTTACCAACCACAGTTCTATTCTGCATTCTCATATCCTAAAGCAATTTAAAAATAGCAAAAAATGGGTTACATCCATACACACATCCATCCTTAGCACCCATCCACATCCATCCTTAACATGAGCTACAAAAATCCAAAAATGATTTCAGAGTCAAAGAAGAATAACTGATGCAGAATCACAAATAAGCATTATGGTTTCATAGAGACTTATGTCACCTTAACCAACTATGCTACTACAAATTGGCTTCCCCATAACATCTAATAAAATGCAAAGTTATGCACTTTTAATTATGTTAGAATCTTAATTATGGTTGCACATGATTTTAAATAAAGCTAAGAAGATAATTAACAAACTGTTTATGTATGTATAGTTTTTATTAACAATTTTAATTCATATTTGGCTATTCCTCATTCCCTGAAATGCTGCTTTGATCCACTTACTTATGTATGCATGCCTTTGTATTATTCTAAGCAGAATCAAGCTCAGATTTTCTGCTGACAGAATTCTATCAGTGGATCTGGAAGAAAGAGATTATCTCATTTCTATTTCTTCCCTAACCCCACTCATCCAAATCTATCCTAGAGATGTACAGTGCATATTTTGAAGAGGGATGTACAGAAAGAAACAATGTGTGAGCAGAATGGGATTATGTCCTACTTTCAGATGGTTTGTCTGTTCAAAGCAGACAAAGCAAATATCAAATTATGTACAATATAAATCGGAAAATAAAGTCTAATTTTCAGTTGTACAAATATACCCAAATACCTGAGTAAGAAGCTGATCCTGTGTTAAATTATTGATCCACCTAGTATAGCGCTGAGTTGCTTCTGCTGGTTCTCTCTTAATTTGGCAACCTATAATCTGAAAATAGAAACAAAAAGATTTTCACGAATGCAGATAACACAACCAAAAATGGGGAAAGTATTTAAAAAATATGCTGAAGGTGTTGTTGTTTTTTAAAAAAAAAAGTTTTTGAACTACAGAAGATTGCATTAAGATTCTGGCAAATCAGATTCATGTCATTGATTTTTATCTTAATGGGGTCAAAATCAGTATTACCACACCTTTCACAACATAGTGTAACATCACTATAATAGTTGTAATATTAGCAACTGATTAGCTATTATTATGCAATATTATTATGCAATATTAGCAACATTAGAAAATGAAGGATATGTTTTCAATATTCTGTTCTATTTACAGGCCTTTTCATTTTTCTTCCTTTTTATTATTGTAAACGACCTGGAATAGCTCCATGATGAGATAAGCAACAAATAAATTTAACAAATAAATAAATCTAAAAATAATTACAATGATTATACATACTATATACAATTAATGTTTCTTTTGTACTATTTTCCATCATTTACAAGTTATTGCACATGACAATTTATTAGCTTAACAATAAATTATTAGCTAATTTATGTATTATTTATTATTACAAAATATTTTCTTTCCAAAATTAAAAACAAGTTATCTATATGGCAGATTTAGCTTAAAAGTATAAGGGCAATTTGGAAATAAACCTCTGTTTGGTTATCAATGACAGACATTCGCAGATACAGAATTTTTATTATACACATTAGAAAACTACAACATTACATTATTTTTCAACATAATCGCCATTTGAATTGAGGCACTTGTCATAACATCTTACAAGGTTTGAAATTCTTTAGTAGTAGTCACTGGGCACCAAATCTGGGCTATGAGAGGGTTGATCAAAAACATCCCAACAGAACTGCTTCAAAAGTTCTTGGATGCATCTAGCAGTATGTGGGCGAGCATTATCATGAACCAACACTACACCAGAAGTCAGCATGCCCTGATGCTTGTTATGGATGACTCGTCTGAGTTTTCGTAACGTTTTATAGTAGACTTCTGAACTGATGGTCAAACCACGCTCCATGAACTTCACCAGCAGTACTCCTTTGGCATCTTCACATTTGGCGGGATTTTCTATGGCAGCACTTCCGATGTGGTGCTGGTTCATGATAATGCTCGCCTGCACACTGCTAGATGCACCTAAGAACTTTTGAAGCAGTTCCTTTGGGATATTTTTGATGACCCCCCCCGCCATAGCCCAGATTTGGTGTTGGGCGACTACTACTAAGGAATTTCAAACATTGTAAGACTTTATGACAAGTGCCTCAATTTGAATGGCGATTATGTCGAAAAGTAATGTAATATTGTAGTTTTCTAATGTGTATAATAAAAGTTCTGTATCTGCGAATGTCTGTCATTGATAACCAAACAGAGGTTTATTTCCAAATTGCCCTCATATAATAGTAACTGAAACATGAAATTAGTTTTTCATATAACCATGCAACTGAAAGACCATTCAGACCACTGCATCCAACTCACTCCTCAGAGTAAGCAATTCAAATCAGATTTTACCTATTCTATATTTATGCACTTGATTTGCTTTCTAAGTAAATAATTTTGCATCTTTCTGTGAATTTTCACTGTTATTTTCAACATTTTACTCTATGCTATCAGCTTGAATTTAATTACCATTCTCTGATATTACTATCTCATCCAAAGTTATGTTAGTGGCAAATCTGATAAGCATTTACTACACTTCATAATCCCAATAAGAGATATAAATGTTAAGGTGTATCAAAGATTTAATTTTGTAGTATTCTTCTTGAAATTTCACTTGTTTCAGTCAGCTACTATGTAACTATTTAACTGTTACCAGTTCACATTTAATTAATTAGTTTGCTTATTAAAATGCTACAGTATATTCTGTCAAATGTATCTATCAGAGACTATTCAGAACCTTAGAAAGTAAATAATGATTTGCAAAATTCAGAACACCTGCACATTCCTCCAGTATTAAGAAAAACCATTAGTCAATTCTCTTGTTCTTCAAATAGTTTTTACTGAGAGAATGAAGAAGTTCCTGCCCTAATAACTTAAAAATAAATTGGGTGCTAAAGTGAAAGTATTCAATTGCTGAGATTTCTGAACGCTAATTCCTCTTCTAATTATAAAGGATTTTGCAAGAATATTATTCTCTGTTTCAAAGAGCTTGAGAAAACCCCTGACATCATGGTATGTTTCTGATATCAAGGTATGTTACATTCCCCGCTGACTTTGCTTGTTGGAAGCTGGCTGGGAAGGATGCAAATGGCGATCACATGACCCCAAGATGCTGCAATCATTGTAAATACATGCTGGTTTCCGAGTGCCCAAATTTTGATGAATAACTGCAGGGATACTGTGATGGTCATAAGTGTGAAGAACGGTTGAAAATCACGTTTTTCAATTGCTGTAATTTTGAACGGTCACTAAACATGCAGTTGTTTAAGTCAAAGATTACCTGTAGAATTTTCATCCTCAGTACGTACTGGGGTTACAAATTACAAACCACCAAATATAATGAACGTATATTATTTGCAGTATCATATAAGTACTCTGATTTGAGCATATCAGTTGCCATCAATCCAATCAGTTATTAAATAAAAATACTGAGACACTGAAGGAAGGTGGAAGGAGTCACTGTATAAGAATTATACTAAATATTTATAACAAGAAAAGCACTGCTTGCTCATATTCCATCAGAATAAGGCTTCCATGATATCGTATCCATTTAAAGAAGCATTATTTTAAAGCACAGATCATTCTAAACTAATGGCAGATTTTTTCATTTAAGAATAAGATATTGCTTGTACCTAGAAGTTTTTTTTTCTTTTACCTTCATTTTTATTTCATGAGTTTTATAAAATAAATCAGACGAATATGAGAATTATATATGGGGTAATTCAGAAGAATAGATGAAAACAAATAGGAAGTGCTGGGCAAACACAATTCTGCTGATCTGAAAGGCATTTCTTTAGAAAAAGATAAGAAAGCTTAGCTTTTGTACACAAAGCAGACTGACCCGGCCAAAGCTACACAAATACAAATTAATGAACAGCTGCCAGGAGGTGACAGATTAGTCTTAGCTGTGGCTTTTTTAAAGCCAGATTTCCAATTAAAGTACAATGTATAAGCTAGTCCACTCAAACTATTAAAGACATTAATGAAAAGTAGCCAGGTTGTAGCCACGTTCGTATCTTTAAAATATCAAGAAACCATATTAAGGCTTCTAGAAAGCACAAGGTATTGTTATCCACTAGCTGTTTGTGGATCAGATCAACAAAAGTAACTAGGTTTTAAGAAAAGCTAATTATCAGTGATTTCTATCAAGCATTTTTGTTAATACATTTCTAAAAGGCAGCATATTCAGAAGAAAACCCATTTTAAAACTTTCTGTTTCAGAACTAACAGACGATCATAAAAAGTTGCTGAATTATTAACAAGATTTACTAAGCATGAAGTAGTGGACAAAGAACAGAACTCAGAAATATTAAGGCTCCATAGTTTTCCCAAAAGAAATTTATTTGTGTGTCTGTGTGTTTGCATGCATGAGCACAGATTTGAACAGATGAAAGGCATCACAATGAATACTAATTTCCATCCTCCTCTAATCAGGAGATCTGTAAGTATGTCCCATATAGCCCACCACTTTTTTCTCTCATCTAGTTATGTTAATTTTCAGTATGGCAACCAATTCATATGATATTATATTCACATAATACAGACATTATTACAGCTTGTCCATGAACATAGTCCTTACAACTTAATATCCAAAGATATTACAGCTCAGAAGATTTCCATATTGGGTTTATTATTGTTTAGTTGTTATTCAGACTAACAACTTTAAAATTCTATTTATTTAATATATTTTAAGCCTCTTCTCAAAATAACATATTTCAACATACTACAATTTAAGGTAATTATTTGGGGAAACTGATCTGCTGTTCTTAGTTACAATATTCAGTGTCCATTTAAATATTAAAGTAAAACATATAGAACTATTGAGAATTATTCTAATACTTAAGCATCCCAATATTATTTAAGAGAAGGATCAAAATACAGAAAATAGATAATATTCTACTATGGGATGAGAAAAAATGCATATGAAGTTTGATACCTACCATTTGTTCCCTGTATCTTAGCTCATCATGATAAAAAATTCCAGAGGTTACATGATTTGTTCACAGGTAACAAACAACTTTTGAAAGAAACTATAATCCCTTATACTATTTAAAAAAGCTCATTGGAACATTTTTATTCAATCAGAATTTCAACAACTTTCTCTGATTGCTGGGTTTTACTTTTTCGATAAGATATAAGAAAAGTCTCCTTCAACAAAATATCATTCCTAAATTTTCTGTTGAATCTGAAAGAAAAACCTCTTTGTCATGTTGCTGGTTACTGACTAAAGAATTACTTCTATTGATTGCCCACTTTTGAAACCTAGTGTGTTGACTATTCTTGAGAATAGTAGGATCTCATCATCTACCAAAAACTATTTAAAAAATTATATATGTTGTGACAATCTGTTAAATCAATAGTTTTAGGCATTGTGTAAAAATAGTAACTCTGTCATCTATAAATTCCATTAGGATCTTACCATCTCTTGGTTAAAATAATGAAGATTAACAACCCCTTGAAAATGAATATTAACCACTATCTTCTATCACCAAGTAAAAGAACCAACAGTTGCACGACATTCCAACATACTTTCCAACAATTTGTTATAACTCTTGCAATTCCTAAATGTGAAACCTTTCTGTTAAAATTTATAAAAAGCAGAATTTATTCGCTTAAAATTAAATTAAAAGTAATTTATACCACCTTTCTAAGAACAACCAAAGAGCTATTTTAAGCAATATAACTACAATTATTTGAATTTGAAAATCTCATGCATTGTTCCATCTACTTTTTACTCCATGATCATGATTCTATTCACATTTTTTTATTTTTCTTTCTGTATTTACCACTAATGGAATTAAAAGAAAGCAAAGAAGCAA